GTGAAAGATTGTTGCAGAGTTCCACAGCCTTTGCTCAAGATCGCCAAACAAGAGAACATCGAACTTTATACTCACAATGATTGCACCGACATTTTGCCAAGTGGAACATTGCGGGAGCTTTTGGGACAAGGAGTTAGAGGCGCTGGTGTACTGTCAGAATCTAAGAGGGGAATTGATGGTATGAAGGGTGACTTGAAGCCGGAATGGGTGGTCAAATATACCGCAATTGTCCGGGATCGTGGCGTGATAGAAAATAAGGGATATTTCGCTTCGGCAGAATTAAGAGAGTGAACATTAAAGCACAATTAGGGGTTTGAATTTTGGCGCAATGGCGAATTGCGGTTTTCTGCTTGAATAGCGTGTTGAAAATAACGGGAACGACTTGAAGTAACAAGATTACCTGGTCGGCAAATTGTAGTGTTTGGAGAGCTGGTGGATGACGAAGACAAGTACATGGATATATAGAAATCCTAATACAAACATTGGACATATTATAGAATCAAAAGTAGATTGTAAATTCTCAACCTAACATGCTCCTTTTTCTCCCTCTCATTCTCACATCTTCTAACTTCTTCAAAACCACTTGTGCTCCCTTGTAACTTGTTCCGTACGCATTCAAAACCTCTCTGAACAATCCCTCCGCCCGTGGATGTGTACTTCCAAATGCTCTCTCTAACACATATAAGTCGACAGCTCGATCCTCCTCTGCTGTAGTCTGGCTCGCCAGCCCAAAATCAATTATAACAATCTCCCCTTCCAATTCCTTCCCGTTGTTTATCTCCTCCCCTTCAACTGGTATTGGTCGCAACATCAAATTACTCGTCGTCAAATCTCCATGTACAACCCCAACTCCATGCATCCTTCCCACCGCCCGTCCAATCCTCCTCATAAGGTCCACCGCATCTTCACTTCCCTCTTCCTCCCCAGTAACCTCCTTATTCCCTTCCTTCTGCTTCCTCCGTTCTAGCCACTCATTCAATCTAATCCTGACCACCTCCCCCGCAATCCACTCGGCCATTATACATCCCCTTCCCTCATCCACCGCATACACAGCTGGCACCACAACGCCCTCCCTCCTACACTTGACCAGCACTCTCGCTTCTGCCAATATCCTGGCTTTCGTCAAGCGCTGATCAAGAATCGGATGGCGATACGGTTTCGACGGGCGCCATTTGAGTGCGCAGGGTAGAGACGGCAGTAAGTATGTGGATTTGTAGAGGAGAGCTTCGGCACCTTGAGTGATGAGCGAGGGTGGGGTGGAAGAGGGGTATGTGAAGAGATGGGGGAGAGACGGAGGCGGGGAGATTTCTGGTTTGCCGGTTTCCATGGTTGGCGACGGTATCGTTTGTCTTTTTATAATATTGAACTGGACTGGATTGAAGTGATGTGAAGTGATGTGAGGTAATCTGTGCCGATCTTGAAACTTTCCTATCAAAGTCGCAGAAGAATTGTCGTTGTGTATTAGTGGATTTGACTCAGAGATGTGGATTTTTCTCTACTGCAGGTCATGGTGCTTTACATGAATTTACTGTATGTACCTACCCCACGCGTGGTGAATTAATGGTTCAATTGGCCAACAATGGGACGAAAGGTTGGAAAAACTCTCCACTTCTTGATTGTGTTGCATTGTCACATTTTCCTTTTTCTTATTGCATATCAATCATCAATCGGAATAGTATCACAAAATATCATACAGACAGAGCCCTAATTGTCCGATATCCCGATCTATTACACACACCTTGGACCTTGGACCTTAGACCTTACACTTTACCTAGGTAGTTCCTCCCAGTTCCCAACAGAACGAGAACTTACTTACTCACTCACTCACTCACTCACTCACTCACTCACTCACTCACTCACTCACTCACTCACTTACATCGGCTCACACCACCACGCAAGGATCCTTCCCTAGGTTCTCTCCGTTAACTTGCAAAAATTCAAAGGCCGCATGTGATGATTCTGCAAGTACAAGGGTTCATTTTCCCACCATCTATTGGTTTTTGGATCGTTTGGATCTATCGGTTTCCATACATGTGCGGAAGTGAGTAGTAAGTGGTACGGAGGGGAAAATACTACCTAGGTAAGGTACGCAGGACCAAGTATTCCTCTTTTCTTTTTGCCTCTCTTGATTATCCTAGATATCCGGCTAAGGGAGGTTACTTCATGATTCACCCATCTCACATCTATTCATCACATCTTTGTTACCTTAACATCCTTCTTCTTCATCTCAACCTCTCTATCAATCTAGATCGAATGCGACAATACTTATCTCAAAATTTGAATATGTGCACAACTCACTCTACCACCTTATTACCATCATCATCATCATCTTCATCATCTTCAGCCACCCCAGCAAAATGTCCCTCAATCCATTGATCCAATCCCTCCCACCAATGTCCCCCCTCCAATCTAGTCTGCCCACTTCCCTTCTCCTCACCTGTGCCGCGACGGCCGTTTCCCTTCCTCTTCTTGTCCAAACCCTCCTCACCCACCTCTCAGCCTACAATACCGCACCTCAAGACCTAACCACCTATCTCTCTGTGCTTGAATCCAGTGTTCAAGAAAACGCCTCTTACGACCATGATATCAGCAGAATCTCCAAACTCGAAGATAAACTTCGCTTGGCGGGCATGGTACGCGAAATCCAAAGATGCGGCGATGATTTGAGAGAACTTTTGAATAATATGGTTAGTAAAGAAGATCACAAGAGGTTGAAACTCGGATCTCGGATATTATGGGGAACGACCCGTCGGGATCTCGAAGAGCGAGTGCGCAAATTGGATTTACTGCGCATGCGTTTCCTCGTCGTGTATCTGGGAATGGTGGCTGCGAAAACGGAAGTCGTATTGAAAGAGAAAGAAAAGGAAAAAGAGAGAGAAAAGGAAGATGCGGATAAAATCTTCGGCTCTCCTATTCGGAGTAGGACGCTTCCGAGTAATTTGAGCGAGAATCTCAAACGTACACCGCCGCTCAGGAGGATTACGAGTAATGCCATAGGACATAATGAGGGTACGGGAAGTCCACAGAGGAGTGGGTGGTTAGGAGTTGTGAGTGAGTTACAAAGCAGTCCATTGATGCATAAGAGGAGGGCATCAGTGGAACAGAGTTCTTCGATCGGAAGTCCGAGAAGTGAAAAGTTTGCTCATTTTCCTTAAGGGGATTGACTCGGGTTCTCAGGAATCACTGAATCAGTTATCTCAAAAGAGAATCACTGGATGTTCCACTTGGGATTGACTATTGATTGGGAAGACGGAGGAAGCCAGAGGCTTTGAGTATCGTTGCACATACATGATACATTACGAATCTAAGTCGCTGCACCAATGCCCTTGTGAGGGGCAGTATGATTCGGGAGACGACTTTGGACAATGCTTTTAGGACGAAATTTTACGAAATATACGGTAGATACAGTACTACGACGCCACGAAAATGACACGAAATGAAAATGAAACGACAAACAGACGCAATCAGAAACAGAAAACAGAGAACACAACACGAATTCACTTTTTTTATGGATATAATGAAAGCATGCATCATCATGAACTTGGAGCAGCATTTAACGAAATCTACGAATGTCGGGGAGAGAAATTGAAAGGAGAGAAGGTGCGGTAGAGAGGGGGAATGTGGCTTGATGATGGAAGAGAACGGTCTGGAAGGCGAGAAATTGGGATGGGATGGGATGGAATAGGATGGGAGGGTGCGGACAGAATACTGTTGTTCTTCAGGATATATCCCTTTTTATGGATGGTCGGCGCATTTCATTTTTGTTTTGTTTTGTTTCGTTTTGGAGACATTATGATGTGATATGAAAGGGTAGTTGATTTTGGATATTAGATTTGAGGTCTTTAATATTGGATATCGAGATTGGATGGAGGATAGAAGAGAGGAGAATGCTAGGACTACTCAGGAGCTCTCTAGCTAACGTGGAATCGAAATGGAATTTTGATGGAGGCAGCTTACCTAGGTAGTAGTATTAAATATGGAAATCAGAGATTACAACTTGTCACAAGATAAAAGATAAGATGAGATGAGATGAGATATGTTAATCTTAGAGTCAGCATACAACTAACAAGCAAGTAGGTAAATACATCTCGATACCCTTATACTTACTTACTTTTCAAATTGAAACAAAGCTCTCTCGTCTTATTTCCGTATTACTTAAGATTATTAGTCGAGCATGCGTTGAATTGAATATTTATCTACATATATCTATCTATGTAGGTATATCATCTCACTGCACAGAACGAACACTATCTGAATACCTACCTACGTAGGTAAAAATGTATATATACATATATAAATCCTAGAAATAAGACCCTTTCTTGCCTCGCATCACCTACCTACAATATGTTTCTTAAAGATAATCTACCTAGATATATATTTAGGTATGTAGTGATATCACATACGAATTTGGGTTTTCCCTATTTTCTCTATTGATTATATATCCATGGATACCTATATGGTTTATCAGATTGGATTGGATTGGATTAGATGGGATGGGATTATATTGGGTATACTATGATTATATTACAATATCTACGATATGTAATGTATTGTATGTACTATATTAGGTATATATCCAATACCTCCTACCTATATTTTCCGCAAGAACCAACCGACCCACTCAACAGCATCAATCGATCTTGTCAATCAATATTCAACGTTCAATTAACATTCAACGATCAGATGAGATATAGAGACAATGCAGTACAACACACGAAATCCAATATAAGATTCAAGAAATAGAAACCCACACATTCCTCATCTCGCATTCATCACCTACACACACACAGTGCGAAGAAGGCAAACATTCATTTTATTTCGTAAGCCGGCATACCATACCATATCGACTTCTACTGATGCAATCATTCGCAAGTGTTCGCTAATACAACCTCCTATCTGCGATATTTCCATTTTCGATTCCCATTCATCGCTTCATTCCAAGGCCCATTCATTCATTCGCCTCAAACACTCAGTTTATAAGTAAATAAGTAAAACCTTTTTTAAATCTCAAAAATCTCTCCCACGCCCTCACCACCCGCACTCCTATTCTCCACTAGATCCAATCGCCAACCTTCCCAATTCCTCAACGCCCGCTTAACCTCCTTAACCCTCTCAATCCTCTTCATCGCCTCCTCCTGCTGTGCCTTCCTGAAAGCTTCCTCGTCGAATTCAAGGAATTCATCATCATCCAACAATTTATCATCCTCATCCGCCCCTGCATGCCCATGTCCTACCGGTGCCGTACCTCCCGTAATAGCATTAAAACCACTCGTCAAATAATCACCGATCCCCATTCCTTGCGGACCTCCACTCTTTCTCGCATGAGGACTTCCACTTCCACCTAAATCCACATCTGTAAATCTTGCGCCAGGACTCGTAAGTCCATCGTCTCCTTCACCCTGTAATTCGATTCTTCGATCTCTCCATACGCCTCTTCTCAATTCATGAACTTCCGCCTCTAAATCCCTGACTTTCTTTTCCAAGCGCTGTCTCTCTTCGTTTTCCAATTCATCAACCCCCTCATCATCGATGCCTTGCGCATCTCGTTTCTTCAATCTTTCCCTTTCTTCCTTGAGACGTGAATTTTCATTCTCGACAGTAGCGAATCGAGCTCGGAGGTCTGACGCTTCTTTTTCTACTCTCTCATGTTCCTTCTTCTGAGCTTGTGATCGGGCATCATGCTCTTTGTGAAGCGTCGTGAGCGTAGATACTTTCTTCTCAAGTGCCTCGACCTTCTTCTGAAGTTCATCACTGTGTGCCTTGGCCTCCTCCGTTTCTCTCTCCAATGTGCGTAATTTAGTCTCTGCAGATATACGTTCGCTACCTTCCTTGACAGCTTTCTCAGTCGTTCGTTCAAGATTCTTCTTCAGATCTCCCAATTCCCGTTGCGCATTTGCTGCCGACTTTTCACTCCTTGCCAATTTTCCTTCCAGAGCGGTGATTTGTTCTTTTTCCGCAGATGATCCAGATGCGATACGATCAAGCTGCGCTCTAAGATTTGAAATCTCAATTTCCATTGATTCGATCGTCGAGGATTTGGAACGAAGCTCGGCTTCCAATTCCGATGGTGCTGGCACCGATGTTGAAGGCGAAGATACATGTTTGCGGGTGGAAGAAACCTGAAGCTGTGTGTTTTGTCGTTGGAGGGCTGCGATCTCAGATTTCTGCAATATTCAATTAGCCCAAATTGAATTGTGCGCTATGGTCCAGAGCTTACCAATTTCTCAACTTCCTCTGAAGTCTCATTTTCAGTACCCTTTCCTCCTTTGGCAGATTCTCCCTCTGCCTCTCTCAAATCCTCCAATTCTTCCTCTGCCTTCTTCCACCTCTTCTCTGCATCTACCGCCTCTTTACTCAATTTTTTATTCTCTTTCTCCAAATCCTCGATTCTTAAAGCTTGCTTCCTATAAATATCCGGCGCCGTATCACCACTGGGACTAAAAGCAATTTCCGGTGAGAGAGGTCCCGACGCTTGTCTAAAGGACGATGACCTCATCTTAGATTGTACTGATAAGGAGGGCGATCTTCCATGTCTCGAGGCTGAATTGAGTTCCGCTACCTTCTCTTCCTCACCCTTACTCTTCGAAACTTCTGCCGGATTTTCCCCTTTCTTTTCATCCTCGACTGTTATCTCTTCATGAGCGACTGACGTTTCGGCGTGGGCCTCGAGTGGTATTTCAGTCGAAGCTTCGGATGGTACTGCAGCAGTTGTCTCGTGGGTCTCTTCGCTCTTCGTTTCTTCACTCTTCGCCTCCTCACTCTTCGAAGCTTCAGCTACTGCGCCCGCCTTCTCTTCTTTCTTCCCCCCTGCCTTCTTCGCCTTTTTCTTTTTCATTTCCTCAACCTAAATGCCACTCATCAGTAAGTAATCATGCTCACCATCTCCCCCGATCATTCCCCCAAACTCCCAACGCTGCAACAACCCACTCCTTCATCCCCCATACAAAGTAGAACAACATACCCTCTTCTTAGCCGCAGCCAGCTTTTCAGCCTTGGCCTTTTCCTCCGCGTCCGCCATGTTCAATTATTTCCGTATCGTATTGAATTCCTCGTTATCCAATGATGAAGATGCAGTTTCCGAATATCTTCACTCGTTGATCAAGTGCGCAGCGTCAACAATCGTCAATGTTTAATGCTTAGTATTGAAAATCAAAGGTGTTCAAAGTGAATGGAATGAATGTAGATATGTTCAGACCAGCTTGCAATATTGTCCCTCCGTAACCTTCACATGCCATGGATCGCGCTAAGTTTAGCTCCCGCTTTACCGACAAGGATACGCAAATGAACCACTGAATATGAACCGATACCTAGGTAGGTAGATAGCGTATGCCCAGGTCGCCCTAGGCCTTGTTTCCAAGCTGTTTCCTTTATCAGTTGATCATCAATTTCCCATCTTATTATCATCTCATTCACCTTTTTCTTGCCATCTCCATCTCATTTGCCCTGTTTCCTGGTTATCATCATTCGATTGTTTTGGTAGATTCGGATTCTCTTCTCCTATTTCCATTTGTATGGCTTTACAATTCTTATAATACAATTAATACAATTGACGTTACACAGCCATTTATCCAAATAACTATCTATCTATCCTATCATCCATCCATCACAATATCTTTGGGTACAACCAACATTCGCTCACAACCAACGATGACTTCATCCTCTTCTCCCTCCCCCAATCCAAATCACAATCCCAATCTTTCCCTCCATTTGACAGATTTATCACTTACCCCCCTCATTTCAACTTCCTCCTCTTCCCACCCCTCCCACTCCAACTCCCACGCCAAACCACCTCAATTTCAATCCCTCACAACTTTAACATCCACCGCTCTCTCTGCATACAATGCCTCGCTACATCTCAACCTCGGATCTCCGCAACGAATAATTGTTGAATCCGCTTCATCGGGTCCCATCCTTCTCCATTCCTTTATTTCTTCTACATCTTCTACCCCCCATTCCACCTCCAGTACCCGCCATCGCAGCCGATCTACACATACCAATGCACACGACACTCGAATGAATGGATCAGAAAACCTGAATGGGGTGTCGAACAATCGAAGTTTAGAAATTCTGTCTGCAGCCCGAGAGGAAATGCGACCGTTAAGTGGCACGACTGAGGGAAGCCATTCTGAGCAAGAGCGCCATGATGTAAGGGATGAGGGGGCCCAGGCTCCATTATTAGTGGGAACGATTGTAGCGAGAACAGCGGAGCATGTAAGGGAGGCGAGGAAAGCGGCACATAGAATTGAGATTGTCGCGCATGGGTTTCAACGAGAGCTCACGAAAGATACTAAAGTGAAGACGATGGGCGAGGATGAGAGCATGGCTGGAGAGGGTTGAGTCATTTGGAGAAGTGAAGTAAATGCCTTGGACGGATACGAGGATTATTGAACATACACTAGCAAGGGAAGGCTGCTTTCACAATGCATATCGAGGAAGACAAAACCGTTTGGCTGGAGGTCAACATTCTTATAAAAGCAAATTGGGAGTTGGTTAGATATCATGTAGATGCGAAAAGAGGGGTATCTTAGGAGACTGTCATGAAGAGAAGGAGCTTGGACCACAAGTAGCTCTGGAAAAGCCCAAAGCAACACAGATGCACATTGTAAACATTAATGGTTCGTTCATAAATCATTTGCTTATTTTCATAGTCTATTTGGCGAACTACACCCAGGACTTGCATTATTCATAAAATGCCCCAAAACCAATCGCGAAATTATTTCCAGAAATTTAGATAAGTTGCTTGAAAGCTCTGTTGAGAGGAGAGCGGATGTTTGGAACGTCCTTCCAGAAATCAACAGTGGCGACGGCGCGCTTGGAGATACCTTCTGGGGTGAATTCGAACTTCTAAAATGGGGGTTAGCACAATTCATTGGTTCCAAATCTACATGAAGAATAGAACATACCTTGTAAACATCCTTGTAAGCACCGGAGGCACCAAATCTGTTGAGACCAAATTGCTCGTGGGTATAACGTTCCCAGCCCATAGTTGACATAACTTCAACGGACAAAGATGGGATACCGTCTGGCAAGACACTGAGTCTGTATTCTTGGGGTTGAGCATCGAAAACCTCGAAACAAGGGATTGAGACGACACGTGCGGTGAGGTTGTGCTTCTCCTTGAGGTACTTGACAGCATCAACACAGATACCGACCTCGGAACCGGTGGAAACGAGGGTGATATCAGCCTTCTCAGCGTTGTGCACAACGTAACCACCCTTGATAGCGTTACCAATGGTAGAGTTCTCGAGTTGAGGAAGGTTTTGACGGGAAAGTGCGATGATGGAAGGAGTGGTCTTAGAGGTCAAGGCAATGTAATAAGCTGCGCTGGTCTCGTTTCCATCGGCTGGGCGCCAAACCATGCAGTTAGGCAGAGCACGGAAATGAGCCAAAGTCTCAATAGGTTGATGGGTTGGTCCATCCTCACCAAGACCAATGGAGTCGTGGGTAGCAACCCAGATAACACGTTGTTGGGACAAAGCAGAGAGACGGATTGCACCAGCGGCGTATGAAACGAAGTTAAGGAAAGTTCCTCCGTATGGGATGACAGTTCCGTATGCAGCCAAACCGTTCATGACAGCACCCATGGCGTGCTCACGTACACCATATCTGATGTATCGTCCGGACCAGTCACCAAGACCGGTAGCAGGTGGTTGGAAATCAACGGCCTCCTTCCATCTGGTCAAGTTGGAGCCAGTCAAATCGGCGGAACCACCAACAAGTTCTGGGATAGCTTCGTGAATCTTTTGGAGGACGATCTCGGACAACTTTCTTGAAGCGACTGCATCATCTGATGGGGAGTATGTTGGGAGGTTCTTCTCCCATCCTTCTGGGAGCTCTCCAGTCAAGCGGCGCTTGAGATCGGCAGCCTCCGAGGAGTACTTTTCGGTGTACTTCTCGAGCAATTGGTTCCATTCTTGCTCCAAGGCGGCACCGTGGGATGCACGCTTGTTGCAGATATCGTAAACTTCTTGTGGAACAACGAAAGATTGTTCGGGGTCGAAACCGAATTTCTCCTTAAGTTGCTTAATATCATCAGCCTTAAGAGGGGATCCGTGGACACCGTGGGTGCCTTGTTGCTTGGAACCGAAACCAATGATGGTTCTGAGCTTGATCATGGAAGGCTTGTCCTTAACGGCTTGGCACTTCTTGATAGCAGCCTCCATGGCTTCCAAATCGTTGTCACCGTCGGTGACAGTCTCGACGTGCCATCCATATGACTCAAATCTCTTGACGACATCTTCAGTGAAGGCAACATTGGTGTCACCATCAATGGAAATGTGGTTGTCATCGTAGATAGCAATGAGGTTGCCTAATTGCAAGTGACCAGCCATTGAAGCGGCTTCACTGGCAATACCCTCCATCAAACATCCGTCACCGAGGAAACAGTATGTGTAGTTGTTGATAAGCTCGAATCCGGGCTTGTTGAACTCACCAGCTGCGTGGTGTTGTGCGATGGCAAGACCAACAGCGTTGGCAATACCTTGACCGAGAGGGCCAGTGGTGACCTCAACACCATCGGTATCGGCGGATTCTGGGTGACCTGGAGTGCGACTATCTATCGACTGGAGAGGAAGCAAATTAGCTAAAAGTCAGGAATTTCAGATCATCAGACTACTCACTCTGAAAGCTTTGATGTCATCCATGGACAACTTGTAACCGTAAAGGTGGAGAAGAGCATATTGGAGCATGCATGCATGTCCGTTACTGTAATTTTCGGACAATTAGCTTTTGAATCATAAATTTTGGTACTAGATTTCTTTGAGAGTAACAGAAATGTGAGAGCCAAGGCGTGCTGTAACTAATATTCCCAAGTAATATGATAGTTGTAGACCTCCAAATAAAACTTTGCGTTCTCGAATGCAATGCAGAAGGATACATCTTGTGTCAAAGGACATTGATGCGCAAAGGCTCAATTATAGTAATAAATGGAAATGACTCACGAAAGAACAAATCTATCGCGGTTAACCCAGCTTGAGTTTTTTGGGTTGAAGTTCATGATCTTGTTGAAAAGAACGTGGGCAACTGGTGCCATTCCCCTAATATCTCATCAGCAAACGTATCTTTTTTGTGCCAACTTTGTAAAACTCACATAGGGGCTCCGGGATGACCGGAGTTGGATTTGAATGTAGCATCGGCCTTGAAGAGAAGATATCAGTACATGTTTTGAAGGTGTTGACGTTGATGTGTTCTTTTGAAAGAAGCTTTGAATTTCCGATCGCGGGGCAAATTCCCAGGGAAAGGGAAAGGGAAAGGTAGCGCCAACTTACAGCAAGAACACGAATAGTGTTGATAGCAAGCTTGTCAACGTCTGTGAAACCCATGATTGCTATTCTATGAAAATGAAAAATAACTTTTGGGTGTAATGAGGATTGTAGAGATCTTTGACAAAAAGGTTGTTGAGAAAGAAGAGATGAGAGAGGGAGAGAGTTGGAAAGAAGTGTAGAAGTGTAAAGTAAAAAGGAGGGGCGGACCCAAACGTTATTGAATGTATTTGGCTGGCTCTGTTTTTCTATGGTGGGGTGGAATTGGGAATTTGCGTCACAGAAACAGAATGCTCGGTGAAGGGGTCCACTTTATTGTGGTTTTGCGTTGAATGGATGTCAATACATGTGTGTTATTCAGCAAAAGCAAAAGAATATCCCAGATGGGAGTAATGAGTGTCGACGGAGAAATTATTGACTTTTTCTATGGAGTACATAGAACGATATCTACCAAGGTACTTACTTGGCTTGGGTCGGTAGGTGCTAGGTATGCTCTTCATTTCGTTCATTCATGAAGAGTTTGTCATGTTTGTTGGCTGGATGTATAGGTAGGTAAACTTGAGAGGATTGTATTGACACCAGTTGCACGTCGAAATATATGAAATGGTAATGGGAGTGGTAATGGGAGTGGCAATGGAATGAGAATAGCAAGAACATGAGAATGACCAAAGAACGGCGACGCAATGGGAATAGCAACAGAATGGCAATAGGATTCGGACCCATCTAGCTACGGAAAATGGTCCCTCCCATCTTTCTCTTTCTCTTTCTCTTTCTCTTTCTCTTTCTCTTTCTCTCTCTTTCTCTTTCTCTTTCTCTTTCTCTTTCTCTTTCTCTTCTCTTTCTCTTTCTCTTTCTCTTTCTCTTTCTCCCTCATCCCTCAAACTCTGACACACACATATCAATTGGCTCCGAATGGCTATCACCAGAGATCCATCATCAACAAACTTACTTCCACGGCTATAAAAGTCTAATTTGGCCGGCTCTTTCGACCAGGCCAGGTAAGCTCCCGATGCTTTTAGTCTAGAAGTTATTCTTGCATGAACGATTATATATCAATACATGGTCCCGAGATATTCTTAGCTACACCAGCAAGTGACTTGCAAAATCTCTGGAGACTTTAAGATGAAAATATCATGATACTTACGTTTAACCATCTCCCTTCATCAGTTTTAAGAAGGCATGATTCGGAGGGCCAAGACATCAAGCATTATTTGGTTTGACCCGTTCCTGGATCCGTTTGCTAGGAACATTACTCCGGAAAGATACCAACCTACAAAACGTTACACCAACACTTACTATCACTTACTTTCTACTTAGTATCAACACTCGGGACATATAAGCCAACATTTAGAAGTGTTGTGTTTTGTTGCACGTTGCTACCCCGAGTTGCAGAAGGTCCATAGTCTAGTGTATACATCAACCCACTTCTGAACCTTTCACTCTTTTGATTGATTGATATATATAAGGTTCTCTCAGAGAATCTAATCGACCGTTTTCTAAATCGCGCATAATAACTATCATTAAAATATTATACACATGTTAACTTTATAACTACTAAAGCTATAAGTAATCCAATACATAATTTCGATTTGACAGATCGAAACAATTCAAATTTACCTTTTGATTTATTCTCTAGCCCTCCTATAACCCCAAATAATAATAATATCGATTTGATAATTTTATTACTACTAATACCAATTTTCAATATCTCTTAATCTTTATTTCGATTTTCTATAAATAATATTAAAGAATGTATTGGATATAAATTACATAATAATTAAAATATGAAATATCTTGATTAAAATATTTATAATTATAGAAGTCGCTAAATTATTATATCTTTCATTCATTATGAATATTATAGATATACTATATTACAAATATAGTTTTTATAGTTAACTAAAACATATATATTACATAAACAACTCAAACTTTTTTAATTATATTTGTACTAACAAAATTTGGAATTTCAAAATAAAAGAACTTATATTAAATAGACAATTAATCAAAGTATTATTTTATACTATTTATAATTCATTATTATAAAATTAAATAATTAATTATTACAATAAACTA